ACACTCAAAATGACATCACGTGTGGAAGCAGCAAATCGTGATGTGCAGACGCGGGTTGTGTTCGCTTCAGCATGCGAACAGGATCCGGAACGGATCCCGTTCGCATCCAGAGGTACCACTGTATTGATCTGGCTGTGTTACCCAGCCACAGCAGAGTTCTTACTTCTACCATTTCCACATAATAATTGAATACTCTTATACTCTAATTTAATTAACCAATTTGGTGTGTGTACATTTCAACACAATTTTGCAGGGACAAGTTGTTAGCTCAGAGCAAATTTTGCTGGTGTTGCCGCAGTAGTATTTCTCTCTACCTCAATACAGCACAAGGGTACATTGTAGGGGCAGTTCTGCTATTCCACAACCAGAAGAAAGGGGCAGAATCTATAATAGTTCAAATGTCTATCCTAAGACAGGGCAGGGCCCAACTGCTCATCTCCACTCCACTCTATTAGTAGCTTATCAGAGATTAAGCTCCCTTAATCACATTTTCCAGGGACAGTCTATTTGCTTGTGCGGGTGTCTGGTTAATTAATGCCATTTTTCCTTGCATGGTTGATTCAAAAACAACAACAATTTCTTCATTAATGCTACAGCTCTCAGTCAGGGGGAAAAATGCATATTCGGGGGGAGCAAATGGCAAATGGTTTATTGTATTCTGACCATTACATTACTTAGATTTTCTGTTTTTGGCAAAGAAATGTCTGGGGCCATTTCTGGGCCATTTCCCTTCAAACAATCTGTTTCTGTTTGATTTCACCACTTTGTGACTGCAAATTAAACACTCATTAGAAGGGGGGAGGGGAAGGGTTCCCTAAAACCACCTGAGGCTTAATTGTTAAATAGATTATCTTCCTAATATTCTTACTCTTCTCAACTCACACTTTATGTTTTTATCAAATTTAATCCAATTTCCCCTTCACCTCCTTCTGTAAAGGCTGCTGTAGCAGCTACCAAACTGGAATGCGTCATTGTCTTTCTCCACTTGATATGCATTTGAGCAGTTACCTTATGGTGAAAGGTTATATTTTGCATTAGCAAGACCCTGAACAGTTCAGCTTCCCTTCTGACTGTAAACATAAGGATTGTATATAGAAGTACATTAACAGCATGTTTATAAAATATCAAATGTAGCCCTCTCTCTCTCCCTCTCTCTCGCCTCCTGGTATCAATTTCTGAGCTCCCTTTCCCCCTTCTGCCCCTTGCTTAACTGAAAGTGTCACTGAGATGGTTATTATCAGTCCAGGAAATGTGGCTGTTGAAGAAGTGCTTTTAGGAGTTACTGTGCAGAGGTGAAAATAATGAGGGCATAAAAGCTTCAGCTGCCACCACAGCAATTGTAAGAACAAATTCGAATCTGTTACAGACCCACAGACCTTTCCTACTTATGTGGCCGAGCCCAAAAACTCAGATTTGCTGCTCCTGTTTATACAAAATGCTTTTTTGCATGCTTTGTACAACTTAGACTGCTGCAGAACTGCACAGCAGATCATTTCCCCAAAGTGTAGTTACACTAAAATCTTTTTATACCCGTGATGGCACATGCTACAGCCTACACAATGAGAAGGGAGACAAGCAAGCCCAACTCCTTCTTGTTAACTTTATTGCTGCCACCAAATGAATATCTCCACCTTCCCAACTGAGTCCACTAAACAGCCCTTTAACCTTTTCAAACTCCACCAGCGCATCCTTGTTATTTATTCCATTGTTATTTGCTCCAAAATGGATAGAGTTGTATGGCACTTAGGCATGAGGAGAATAACAAAGCCCCAGACTGACTCCATACATCTCTAGCTATGTTTTTGCTTAAAATTTTAGTAAAACAAGGAGTTAAAGTTTCTTGATTTATTTACGGTAGTTTTTTGCAGGGAGGCACGAACTTTACAGTTTAAGTAGTTACTCATAAGCCCAAATAAAAATAAACAAGAGCTAAATAATAGTCAAGTACAATTTCCCCACTAGGCCAATGCTTATTTCACTTTTTGGGTTCCTTTACAGCTTGCTTGCTCTCTTCTACTACAGTGCCCCAAGTGTGCTTTCTATCACTTCCAGAGTCCCGTCTCTCTTAAACTGTTTCAGTCCTTTTCTTTCTTGTAGCTCTTCACCTCTTCAACTCCACAGCTAACTACCCCATTTTCTTCTTGACATACACATTCTTTTCACTCCCCTGCCAAGCTTTTGGCCAATCTGAAGGAGAGTAAGCTCCCAGATAATTTCTATTTGCCCATAATTGTTAGCACCCTAAGATGAACTTTTAACCATCCTGTGCAAAGCATCCCCATGTAAAACTGTTGACCTCCAGTGCAGAACTTCCCTCTATGTACCTTAAACATTGCTGTAAACTTTTGACTTTCTGTGTAGAAGCGCCTTTAAAAGGGGAGGGAGGAAACAACCATTTTACCACTCAAATATAATAAATGAAAACTTAAAGCAAAATGGCAAATAGAGCAAATTTCTTTTTATAAGTAATAAGACAGCAAAAAGTCTTATTCTTTTCAACACTATTCTCCTTAATTATAAAAAAGCAAATTTCTTCACTGTACAGACCAGAAAGTACACACACACACACACCAGAAAGTACACACACGCACATACACACAACCAGTCTCCTGAAAAGCATGCTGATAATGTAATCAAAATGCAAGAATGTTGCACTGGTCTAATTCAAAAGGATCTGTAGGATTTTAAGTGATGTTGTCAGCACTGTTTCAAGAAGAACCTAACCACATTGCACAGAGATTCTCAAATATGAAGGGAGGAAGAGGGTTGCACATAACTGTTTATCCATTTCCATGCATCTCACAGTACAAAGTTCTTGATCAGGACCTATAAGGAGATTAGGAAATTAGATACTAGAATCCAGGTATGGAGCATTATCTGAAATGCAGTGGTGGAAATGTAAGTTGGTTTGTGATCTATATTGCACAAGTTTTAATTGTCTCCAGATACACCCAGGGCTAGCCCCTAACATAACGCTGCCTGAGGCAAAGGGCAGGATGGTGCCACTGCATTCCACATATGGAAACTGACTGGACTGGTTGTTGAATCTTATGTCAACTCTGATGAGGAGATAGCATCTTCAACCATTCCTGAGGCAGCAGGAAACATTAGAGGGCTCAGGCCAGGCCAGGTGTCAACAGAGGGAAATAGCTAGGGGTTCAGATGCCTCCCAGCAACTGCTGCCTGGAGCAGTTGTCTCACTGCGTAATAGTAAGCCTGCCCTTGGATGCACCTATTTACATTTCTTTCCCTGTGGCTATGCAAGGCTCGTGCAGCAAATTCACAGCATTAGATTATTTAGCATCATGAAATAATGGGTTTCAAGGGAAGATCATAGCTCTCCAATGTAATTTTCTGTCCAGATTCTGAACCAAAACAAAAAAAACACCCCACATTTTCATTTTATTTGCTAAAGAACTAACACAACCTCTTTACCCCATTATAATATTGAAATATGCTTGTCTAGAATTCCCCTGACTTAACTGACTAATTGTACATACCAATCAGTTAACGATTTCAGTTTAAGCCATACAAAAATTGAGACTTAAGAAATCCTTACACAAGTTAATCACAGGCAGTCAGAATGAGTAGAATGTGATGGGAAATGTCTTTTCTAGCTTTATGTTTCACTGGAAATTCAAAATGAAAGTAACATCGCAAATATGATAATAAATTTCACACCTTGTGAATGGTGGGAAATAACCCATCATTCACCCTTCATAAGGAACAACTTCAAAAAATTGAATGCAATGGGAACATTTGCTCGCAGGAGTACTGCTAATTTTAAGCATTTGCTTGAAAAAGCATATAACACATAATGGACCACAAAGAATATTCTCCATAAAGGATGACTTTTCAGAAAGAAAGGTGAATGACCAGAAAGAACAGAGACAAGGGAGGTTCTGAGAACAGATTGCCAGCTGCCTTTTATAACCACATGTCTTGAAGAGAAGAAGCTAAAGTCTCTGCAGCACAAAAAAGTGACAATAATGGGAAATGACCGTTCATCTATAGCCCCCTTTTTTGTTAATTAAGCCAAGATTTATGACAAATACCAATCTTGCGATTTGATCCCTGGAAATACCTAAAGCTGTTGCTGCAACCAGGAACATGTTCACTATTTGCTAAAGTCTCTGTAGATATATGATAAAATGGAGATCAATCACATTTATGGCTACAAATTAGGGTTTCTCTGCGCTGAAACCTGGGAAATTTGTAGACGTACACACAGAGGTTTCCACTCAGCTGCGACAAAACATTCAGATTGGTGCTCGCTGCACTGCCCTATTTGGGAGCTATCATTTCCAGATTATTAACCTAATCATTTAAAAGGAACTTTTCACAGCATTAATCCCATTTAAATTTAAAGATGGAAACATTCAGAATAGGAGAAGCTCTATTAGCTGCACAATGTGAAACAAATGGGAACATGGAGCGCAGCTGAGCTACATCCTGAAGGAAAGTGGAACTTTGTATAGGCATTGCTTAGCCCTAAGTGTCAAACTAAGGAGCAGTTTACATAGTGTGCTGTCTCATCAGGATGCTCAAAGTCAAAGGGTCATGTGTCACAGGACTAAGACGAAGGAGGACATTACGGAAGGAATGCTGTGGCGATGGTGGACTGTCAAACGAATCTTCATAGCCATATTCTCAGCTGATTGCTAGCACTAGATATAGACCACAATTCCATCTCTTAGAAATGCATCACTCTTCCAGTGTAGTGTCACCCACAAGTTTGATATGGATTCCGTCTACCACCTAAACATACGCATAGGTGTGCACAATTTATTTATTTATTGGGTGGGTGGGAGATCGCTATCAAATACAAACACTAAAAACCACCAAGCCTACCATAGAAATATTTTTTTAAAATGTTAAAAGGCCAGGAAGAACAGTAAAGTCTTGGCCTAGTGGTGAAAGGAAGTCAATAGACACAAAGCAAGCATTCCATGGTCAGGGACTACCACCAAAGAAGTCCTTTCACTGATACTCTAGACATCAGCTCAGTTGGTTAGAACATGGTGCTGATAACGGCAAGGTTGCAGGTTCAATCTGGGACAGCTGCATATTCCTGCATTGCAGGGGTTGGAGTAAATTATCCTCCGGGTCCCTTCCAACTCTGCAGTTCTATTACTCATTTACTACTGTTCCAGTATTCCTTGAATTTACTCATTATATGCTAAGATCTCACAGGGGGCTTAACTCTTTTTTTATAACTTCTGGTTTTAATTTGCTTGCTTTTTAAGGTAAGCCTTCTTTTTTCAAACCATCCACAACTCAGTAGGCTTTTTGTTTTGGATTTTTCTTCTTCCTAAGTACACAATATTTCTCTTACTCCTAATTTGCTTGCACGGACATGTTAAATTATGGGAAATGCACAACTAACTTTTTATTGTTGTTGTCAAAACTCACTTGCATAATTATATGTAGAAAGCAAATATATAAAAGGTATAAGCAGAACAGAAGGAAATTAATTTACAGTTCAAATGAATATTCATAAATACATCTTCTAGTAATCAGGCAGCTTGACTGTACATACAAAGATTATAACTGAATTTATAACTGAGATAAAAAAAAATCAGGAATACATATAAGCCTAAGATCACCTTCCTTCCTGAAGAAACAAATATTGATTTTGGGGCTATTCAAAAGATTGGCAGAAAAATCCCTTTGCCCACTTTTGTAAATATGCAACAAAGATTTTTGCTGCAGGCAGACAAAAAACAGACTTCTGCCATATGGTAGTGCAATCCTGTGAATCCTTACATAGAAGTAAGGCCCATTAAAATAAGTGTGACTTACTCCTAGGTAAGTTAATATATGAATGCAATATTAAATCCTTTCTCCTTACCTCTTTCCCAAGCCCACTCATGTAATTGATCTGAAGGGACAGAATGACTCTGACAGTCTTTAGAATGAAAAATTAATTAATTTTCTCTGGACAGCACTTCATGTCAAAAACACTGAATAGTGAAGCTGATAATTATTTAGACAGGTGACTATGATTAGATCACTATAAGTCATGTGTACCTAAGTCTACATCTAATTCAGCATCATGTACTCTGAGTAGCCAATCAAATGACTCTGGGAAGACAACAATTATTTATACATACATACATACATACCCCGCCCATCTGGCTGGGTTTCCCCAGCCACTCTGGGTGGCTTCCAACAGAATATTAAAAACACAATAAAACATCAAACATTAAAAACTTCCCTAAACAGGGCTGCCTTCAGATGTCTTCTAAAAGTCAGATAATTGTTTATTTCCTTGACATTTGATGAGAGAACATTCCACAGGGCAGGCACCACTACTGGTTCTCTGTAACCTCACTTCTCGCAGTGAGGGAACTGCCAGAAGACCCTCGGAGCTGGACCTCAGTGTCCAGTCAGAACAATGGGGGTGGAGACGCTCCTTCAGGTTTACTGGGCCGAGGCAGAACCTAAGCACAACAACCCTTTCACCACTTGCAATTCCTAGAAACTGATATCCAATCACCTCAAGTTGTTGCTGTTTAGTCGTGTCCGACTCTTCATGACCCCATGGACCAGAGCACGCCAGGCACTCCTGTTTTCCACGGCCTCCCATAGTGTGGTCAAACTCATGTTGGTAGCTTCGAGAACACTGTCTTAAGACAGGATTGAAGGTCTAGATTTCACTCCAGGCAGAATACATTTCTAAGATACATAAATAATAACCAAATGGCTCTTTCTACATTCTCACATGGGTGGCGCTGTGGGTTAAACCACAGAGCCTAGGACTTGCCGATCAGAAGGTCGGTGGTTCGAATCCCCACAACCGGGTGAGCTCCCATTGTCGGTCCCTGCTCCTGCCCACTTAGCAGTTCAAAAGCACATCAAAGTGCACATAGATAAATAGGTACCGCTCCGGCGGGAAGGTAAAAGGCGTTTCTGTGCGCTACTCTGGTTCACCAGAAGCAGCTTAGTCATGCTGGCCACATGACCCGGAAGCTGTACGCCAGCTCCCTCAGCCAATAAAGCGAGATGAGCGCCGCAACCCCAGAGTCGGCCACGACTGGACCTAATGGTCAGGGGTCCCTTTACCTTTACATTCTCACATGGAGGAACTGTTGCTGCAGGACAGCCACTTCCTACTGCCTCAAATAATGCAGAAGGAACCCATGTTGCAGCTCCTCCATTAAGAAACTGATTTAACATTATTATGGAGAGGAATCTCCTATGTGAGCCAAAGCTTCTCTTCTGATCAAATGTTGCAGGAATGAGGTGACACTGCTGTTATGCCTCTTGCTGTCGAGGTGACATAAGGACTGGCTTGAACTGTGAACCAGGAATTTGCTTGGCGCACATCTCTCCATTGTCATGAATTCACTTAGGTGACCTTAGCCAAGCCACTATTTGTAAGTCTTAATTCCCCGTGTGTAAGATGAGGATATTACTGGCCTAACGTACAGGGTTGTTGGAAGGATTCTTAATAAGGTATCAGAAGTGCTTTGAACATTCTAAAGACCTATACAAATAGGCGCTTTCCCCCCTACTGCTGCAAAGGACAGGTTGGCAGGAGCTGGGACAGAGCAGTAGCAACAGTGCTGTCAGCCTGCCCTCTATTTGTTATTTTTACAGTGCCCTGGTCCTGCCAACCTAGCAGTTCGAAAGCACTTCAAAAGTGCAAGTAGATAAATAGGTACCGCTCCAGCGGGAAGGTAAACAGTGTTTCCATGTGCTGCTCTGGTTCTCCAGAAGTGGCTTTGTCATGCTGCCCACATGACCCGGAAGCTGTCTGCGGACAAACGCCGGCTCCCTCGGCCTATAGAGTGAGATGAGCGCACAACCCTAGAGTCGGTCACGACTGGACCTAATGGTCAGGGGTACCTTTACCTTTACCTTTACTGTGCCCTGGACTAGCAATGAATTAAGGAGATAGTGGAAAATATGTTTGTGTATCAAGTTAATTTGGTAACCGAGGCAGCAAATCCCATATGTGCCTATTGCCAGGACTAAAAATATATGAAAACAATCAGGGCTTTTTCCCCAACTGGTACTCAGTTTTGCCACCCCTCGGGTGGGTGCTATTGCCACTATAAGATAACAAGGGAGGCATTCATGGTGAGTTCCAGCACCTCTTTTTCTAGAAAAATAGCACTAACAATAATAATAAATTAATAAGTAGCAATTTGCTACATTGGACCTGTTGGATTACACCATCGGCTCATCTAGTCCAGCTTCCTGCTTTCACTGTGGCCAAACAGCTGCCTGTGGGACACACGCATCAGGACTTTAGCTCAAGAACACCCTCCCCTCCTGTGATTTCTAGCAAATAGTATTTGGAAGCAAAAGGTAAAGGGCCCCTGGACTTAGTCCAGCTAAAGGCGACTATGAGACTGTGGCGCTCATCTCGCTTTCAGGCCGTGGGAGTCGGCGTTTGTCCACAGACAGCTTTCCGGGTCATGTCGCCAGCAGGACTAAACCACATCTGGTGCAACGGAATGCCGTGATGGAAACCAGAGTGCATGGAAATGCTATTTACCTTCCCGCCACAGCAGTACCTATTTATCTACTTGCACTGACGTGCTTTCAAACTGCCAGGTTGGCAGGAGCTGGGACAGAGCAACGGGAGCTCACCCTGTTGCAGGGATTCGAACTGCCGGCCTTCTGATTGGCAAGCCCAAGAAGCTCAGTGGTTTAGACCACAGCGCCACCTGTGTCCCACTTATTCAGAAGCATATTGCCTCTGACCATGGAGGAAGAACATTGCTGTTCTTGCTGTGCCCAAAATCAGCTGCCTGGGCAGCTGCCTCACACTGGCCTTGCTTGCCTATTAGAATTATGGACCTCTTTCTTTAACTATGTTAATGATCAAAATCAAGACCTTCTTATACCAACCCCTCAATATCCTCAGGGGAAGGGTTAGTCATCTTTACCTTTTCTTTTTTACGTTAAGTAATATGTTTGAATGTTGAATGTGTGAGTGTATGTCTAGAGACAATGGTTAAAGCAAAGACCATCAGATGTTCTGCTGGAGAAGTGTTTAAAAGTTATTGTATTTGTATGTGTTTAAAAACCAATAAAAATTGTTTTAAAAAAGAAAGGCTTTAGAATGTGATGAAAGCCCAAGAGACTACCCTCTCATTTGTTTGCACACAATTCATCCTTGCTTATTTTAGGTAGATATTAGGTAAAGGGAAGAATGATAGCAAGCTTGTTAGAGTGGGAAGATGCAAGGATGGCTGAGGACAGTGAATTGGGCCAGGTCTTTCAAAGATTTCAGAAAACTGAGAATTATATACAAAAGTTTAGAAAGAACAATGATAATATGAACTGAAAGGGTGAGAGGAGTTCGCTTATCTCCAGAACCAACAAATGTTCTGCTCAGCAGTAAATCTATATATGTAGATCAAGCTATTAGGTGAGGGCATTTCTGTTTTAAATTAAAAGCAAAACAAAACAAGAAAGGCAAACTGATTTTGGTGTCATCTTGCTGTCATCAATACTTCTTTGGAATTGCTACAAGCCTTTATATCTCATTAAGCACTCCATTCAGAATCATTAGGGCTATAGGGCTAATGAAGCCTTTTTTTTCTCCCTGTCTCAAAATGCCTATTAAAAACAGCTGACACGTTCTTAATGTGGTGTAACTTCCAATTATTGTTTTCTTAAGGTCAGCCTGTCACATTACAAATTGGGAAAGCAACTAACTACCACGTGTAGTTCCTGGGAACAGACATACTATCAGCAATGGACTCTTAGGTCATGTCTGTTTTATATAGATTTGTTCACTTGGAGAAAAAGACCCAAATTCTGCAGTCAAAGCTAGATTGGCCAAATTAGGCAACTTGCATATATTTTCTTATATTGTGTTTCAATATTTCCCCCTCACAATTAGCTATTCTTCTTCTGAGGACTGAATGGAAAGAAGAAAGTGTGTAAAGTTTGAAGATGGGAACTCTAGGGAACAAGCAATTGATGTTGGTCCAATAGACAAATGGGCTTTAACCCAGAAACCACAGCCTGCCCTCAGATGCTGCCCCTCACCTGCCTTCCTTCTTATTTACAATGAAGCCAGGTGGTGGCCCTGCCTGTCAACTTCCTCTTCCTT